ATTAACCTTTTCATTTTGAAAGTGTTAAAGTAGAATGTTTTGACAATTTGGTAACTTTTGAAAAAAAAATCCCCCAAATTGGAAATTTGTTGAAAATGATCCAGAACAGTTTCAGTTTTGACATATCAGGATTTTTGATGAAAAATGTTTAGTAAAAAAATTAAAAAAAAAAAATCACTAGACACGTGAGCAACTGTGATGCAGAAAGGGATGGATAAATCTTGGACAATGTCCTGTGCCTACAGCCTATACTGGAGGGTCTTAGACCACAGACTCCCTAATGGATGGATAATCCAAAATGTTTCAAGAAAGGCTTCAGATGATGAATTTGTATAAGAAAAAACATATGTGAAACATGACAAGTTTCACTTTCAAGTGGAAAGTTTTCAGGAGGAAGAATTTATTTTGCTGTTTTTAATTTTACTGCAATGGGCTCATTTCCAGAGACCTGCCCACAACCAGTATGGATCTAGTCCTAAACGTTTCATACACAGGGCCAATGCTCAGGCCAATCACAGTTTTCTTCCTCACAATTAGATCAAGACAATTTGTTAACATACATGGGGAATTTCCAAATAGGGTAGCAATAAATTTCTATTGCTAGGTCCCATTGTTTTCTGAACATGGTCAGCACACCTAAATCAACGGTGGGATTTCCGATGTGTTTGAAGGGGGCTTTGTTGTTGGTTGTAATGTACTTATTTACCCAGATAGCTCAGCTCTGATTCAGCATCTGGTTCTCATTGAGGTGCTGCTTTTTTTAACCCAGTCTTCCAGCTGACTTGATTGGAGCACAAAGAGGTCAAGAAACTTGTCTGAGGACATGTAGCTAGTCAGTGGCTCCACTTGGAATAAAGCCCAGAACTGTCCTGGGCTACTAGGTCTTTACTCCTAAAGAGACAATTTTACCTTCTGTGACATGATCTTACAGTTGTCCACAGTAGCCAATGTTGGATTTAAGGGATGAGGGAGGGATAGAATAAAACTGGACCCCACAAAATTGCAGCCTGTTCAGTAAGTGCCTTTTCAGTGGGAAATTGCTAAAGTGTTCCACTGAGTTATCGCAGCAAGTAAAACTCAGGTTTAAGTGACTTAGGTGCTCACACACGAGCAGCACAGCATATATGTGTGCACGCAACCTACCAATCACAGCAACATCCCAGATTTCCCATTCATGTCCAGTCTACCTCCAGTAAACCAGAAGAGAGTTCTCCAGTGTCTCTCCTGCACACAGAAAGTTGCGTTTTAGCTCCACCTCCTGGTTTCTTGGTACATGGTGGGGGCATTGGGGGGCGGGGGGTAAGAGGTGAGATTACCAGAAGGTATGGAGCCTTAAACAAATGGAGGGCACTATGGGGCATGCAAGAGTGAGGAGAGAACTAAAGGTCCCTTGTGCATAGTTTGAAAAGGGCCCTGCAGAACCATGGACTGACCATAGCAATTCTAAGTAGCAGAGCCTGCATGTGGAAATATTTTCTATAGTAGCCCACATTTGAAAAGCACTTTGAAGAGTAAAACCATGAAGTGCTACATAATATCACATCATTGTAAAAAGAAAAGGAGTACTTGTGGCACCTTAGAGACTAACCAATTTATTTGAGCATAAGCTTTCGTGAGCTACAGCTCACTTCATCGGATGCATACTGTGGAGAGTACAGAAGATCTTTTTATACACACAAACCATGAAAAAATGGGTGTTTACCACTACAAAAGGTTTTCTCTCCCCCCACCCCACTCTCCTGCTGGTAATAGCTTATCTAAAGTGATCACTCTCCTTACAATGTGTATGATAATCAAGTTGGGCCATTTCCAGCACAAATCCAGGTTTGTGCTGGATTTGAGAAAACCTGGATTTGTGCTGGAAATGGCCCAACTTGATTATAATCTGTAGCTACAGGGAGCGGGCTGGGCTCAGCTGAGCTGCTATACAAGGCTCTGAAGTTGCTCCTGCAGGAAGCAGGACCTCCAGGGAGTGGTAGACTACAAGGGGGACACCAGGAAAACCAGTGTGGGAGTCGATGCTCTGGAATAAAGCAGGGCAAGACTTAAAGGTGCCTCATACAGTGCTAAGTTTCAGAGGAACAGCCGTGTTAGTCTGTATTCGCAAAAAGAAAAGGAGTACTTGTGGCACCTTAGAGACTAACCAATTTATTTGAGCATGAGCTTTCGTGAACTACAGCTCACTTCATCAGATGTATACCGTGGAAACTGCAGCAGACTTTATATACACACAGAGAATATGAAACAATACCTCCTCCCACCCCACTGTCCTGCTGGTAATAGCTTATCTAAAGTGATCAACAGGTGGGCCATTTCCAGCACAAATCCAGGTTTTCTCACCCTCTGTTCTGTTCCTCTGAAACTTAGCACTGTATGAGGCACCTTTAAGTCTTGCCCTGCTTTATTCCAGAGCATCGACTCCCACACTGGTTTTCCTGGTGTCCCCCTTGTAGTCTACCACTCCCTGGAGGTCCTGCTTCCTGCAGGAGCAACTTCAGAGCCTTGTATAGCAGCTCAGCTGAGCCCAGCCCGCTCCCTGTAGCTACAGATTATAATCAAGTTGGGCCATTTCCAGCACAAATCCAGGTTTTCTCAAATCCAGCACAAACCTGGATTTGTGCTGGAAATGGCCCAACTTGATTATCATACACATTGTAAGGAGAGTGATCACTTTAGATAAGCTATTACCAGCAGGAGAGTGGGGTGGGGGGAGAGAAAACCTTTTGTAGTGGTAAACACCCATTTTTTCATGGTTTGTGTGTATAAAAAGATCTTCTGTACTCTCCACAGTATGCATCCGATGAAGTGAGCTATAGCTCACGAAAGCTTATGCTCAAATAAATTGGTTAGTCTCTAAGGTGCCACAAGTACTCCTTTTCTTTTTGCGAATACAGACTAACACGGCTGTTCCTCTGAAACTTATTCACATCATTGTAGTAACTCCATACTGGGGATGAAGACGCAATTATTTTATTTGAATATATCACTGCATCAAATGAAGGCATAAAAAGCCTGAATATGCCAAACAGCTAAAAGGACAAATAACTCCAGTACTGGAAGTTTTTCCTACATACTCGTGCAGCAACTGGCACCTATTTTGCCAGCTCAGGATCCACCAAACACTCATATCTGTTGGAAGAACATCCCACTGGCTCTATTCTTTGTTCCAGGTGTTCAGGAGGTATGGTTGTGACTATGCTATGATATTCTAAATGTTTCCTGTTATAACCCTGGAATCGTGGGCTGTGACCAAGACTCTGAGTTGTTGAAACAGGGCGCCCAGTTTTGGGGTTAGTTTCACAGCAAAATAGAAGCTTTACAGATAAATGGCAGCTCAGGTTTCCTATTCTCAGAGATTGCCCCTTCCACTGCCCCAAAGGACAAACCACAGCCCATCATGAGCCAGCTCGTGTGTCTCTAGGCACTAACTGCCCTTTAAACAGCAGGCACAGAAGAGCACAGGACTTTATTTATGGATTGTGCCAACAGCCAAAGGAAGTCCTCCATGCAGGGTCAGTAGGGAAGAGAATGCATTGGCACAGATAGGACATTAAAACTCTATGTGGTCGAAGGCACAGCTCCACATTAACACAAGGGCTCAGTACTACCCCTCTCCCAAGGAAAAGAATCCCTGAGCAGTTCTAAATGTCAATACCTATCCCAGTGTCAAGTCCTGCAGAACCACTGGCTGAGATTTCTCACACCTGTTTTTGGTTTTGTTTTTTAAATGGTTGAACAGCTCCCCCTCCTTTTCAACTGTCTGTCCTTCCAGTTCAAACAAAGACACAGGAGCTCCTCCTTGGCTGGCTGCAGGAGCTGGTAGTGCAGGCGGATGCTTTTGTTTACTAACTCTCCCACAAGCTTGGCTGACACCCGATTCAATTCTATTCTCCTGGCTCAGTCATTCCCCACGTATGTCCTGCACTGCAGTCAGTCGCATGGCTCTCTCAGTGCCATAGCAGCACACGCTTCTTGCCCGGGGGAGAGGGGAGGGAACAGGCCAAGATTTTCTATTGGGTTTGTTTTTGTTTTTTTGAGGGGGGCATTCTTGGATGCATTTCCCTGACAAAGACATCGGATAGCTACACTCCCCAGATGGAAAGGGTCAAGTTACAACCAGTTCCACTGCTTCCCTGACAGCAAAGATCGTTACCCTTCCCTTTGCTGTAAGAAGCAAGCACGCAGTGAGACAGGGACAGCTAGTAAGAGAGTGCTATTTAGAAGGGGGGGAAATAAACAAACAATGCACAAAAATAACTTGTGATATGGTATTTCTGATGTCAGAATGACATCCTACAGTCCAGACAGCCAACTTTCACATTTCTTCAGTTGATCTTTCTAGAACATTCCCTTAATAATTCTGCTGTTGGGTCATTCATCTCCAAAAGTTAAGTGAACCCAAACTTTGCCCAACCGAGGGCCATCCCAGCAACTCTACAGGAGCTAAATTCCTCACCTAACTTGAGTAAGACCAAAGCAGCGCCCACCTTTAAATGACTCCACTGGGGTGAGGGAAGCATTCGCCCTCTGAAGACCACAGGAAGGCATCAGCAGCTACCAGTCCCAGCATGTAGCACTCCTTGATCTTAGTGGAAGTCTGCTCAAATCATGATGAGGTATTGCACGTTAGAGCCTGTGCACTCTGTTAGCTACCTTCATGTCAAAGAGGAGGGCAGCTCTGGGCTGCACTTTGGACATGCCCATTCTAAACCCTGGATGATCAGGGACTTCTAGTTCCCTCTTACTCAGAGATTAGAAGGCAGGGCGGAATGGTGTCATACAGATTCCTTTTGCGGCATGGAAATTAGCCAAAATATGACAGACTTCGATTAGGATTGGCTCACGGTGCAGACTCTAGCCACAACAAGTGGCACAAGTGTGTATTCAGCATGGACAATGACTAAACAGAGATGGGAGGTGAAGGGTCAGATGAGCCAGAGGCTCCTGGATGCCATACCTGGATAACCAAATCCCCTTCTCCCCCCAAAAAGAGCGCCTACCCTCTGTATGTGGAGCCTGTGGAACTGGTCTGCAATGCACTGTAACTTCCTTGCAATCTGAACCTCAGCACGTGCTTCCCGTTGACCTTCCCGAGGCTCCTCTTGGAGATGTGGATTCAATGCAAAGCCAACTGGGGGGACATGTAAACGGTACCCAGCATTCCCTGCAAGACATTAGAGATGAGAAGGCTCAATGGCTTGGTCTCCCAGCTTAAAGCCTGGTTCCCCTTCTCACCATTACACATCATGAAGGAAAACCTGTGTAACTGCAAACTTCTGACTCAGGCTAAAGTCCAGTTTCTGCAGCCTAAACAATGACTAATCATACTAAGTATTCAGTAAAACATTCACTCAGAGTTTTAAGTAGATTTACATTGATCCAGCAGAGTGTATTATGTTCCTCCCATAACCGAGTGACCTGAAAGAAAAAAACCACACTGAGATAGGGAAAGCTCTCACACATGGATCAGGCTTGTTTATAGTTCAGTCAACGTTGGGATTTTATCTGGAATGACAGTCTTACACTTATGCAGTACCTATGTCCCTCCTAAACATCAATAATCTCCTGGCATAATCCTTGCTGCAGCTTCCAAATCAGGCATCACTCATAACCGCCCAGCATTTAGGACCAAGTTTCACCTTGGGATACACTTTATAACAGGTGCCACATGTGAGGATACAAAGGCAGAATTTGACTCAAAGTTGTTGGTGGGGGGAGAGAATGGCTTTTTTTTTTTTTAAAACCTGAAATGTAAGTCAGGAATGATTCATGTCGCCAATTCAGCTTTAATAGAAATTCAGGCCAATTACCTCTTTACCACTGAAAAACTGTCTGTTCATGTTATTTATCCGACAACTTTTTTCTCAGCCAAGAGCCCAACAAAAGACTCTCAACATTTGAACCTCTGTGTTTACTGTCTCTGCACTGACAACACTCATGCAGTCCCATCCACATGACAAGATTCACCTGGGCAGCCTGGAGAAAGGGAAGATTTAACTCTTTGCAGGCAAATTGGCAGAATGTGCACTGAGGCGAGGGAAGCACTTGATCGCCCTCTGAAGCCTGCAGGAGGGTCTCAGCCTTAAGTGCTGCTGTAGGTGTCTAGCAAGAACTTCAACTGCTTTATAATGGAGTTGGGGGGGGGGGGGGAGAGAGGAGCTGGTGTTTAACGGATGGCAGAAGCAGTGAGAAAAGGGACAGCTCCTGCAGTGAGTAGGCAAGGGTGAGAAGCAGAGAGAGCTGTCTTTCTTTCAGGTGCAGCAGAATAAGTAACCCTCTCTTGTCCAGTGGGAGAAAGAGGGGAAGCGCTAGAGGGGCAGTTTTCCCTTCTGCAAAGCTAGTGATGCTGGAGTGCTCTTACCATAGAAGAGTCTCTGGGGCTCTTCAGTGACTCCACATGGCAACATGACATCCTGAGTGGAAGAGGATGGACTGAGTGTTTGGGTTGCCTTGTCCTGCTGCTCAGCATGCCTGATACCTGGACCACAGCAGTGTGTGAGTGGGAACAGTTGAAACCTCCCCAGCAGGCAGCTGTAGGATTGGTTCTGTGTGAAAATGCCAGGAGGGGTCATCTCACCAGGCTGACCTGTGAGTCCAAAGTCAGAGTGAAACACGTCATCGTCCAGCCCGTCCAAGCTGGAATAGTCCTCTTCTAGGTAGCTGGGGGGATCCATTGCTCCTGCAACAAATGAACACTTGAAAAAATGGCTAAGATACAACCAGAGTGCAGTCCAGAATAACCCCCTCACCCCCAATTCCATCCAGGAACACACAGTTCTCCCTACTTCCCCAAGCTTTTTCCTCCTAAAACAAAGCGTACATGACCTGAAAAGATCAGAAATAAGCTGATGATTAAGACCTTGTGGTCAAGTTCTGGAGCCCTTGAAGAGACAGCTCTGCAAGCCAAAAAGGCTCCACATATGGTTGGAAGTCTTAAAGACTGCTCCCTCCCCAATAAAAGAATAGTCATGGCGAGACAGAGGGACATTGTTTTAAAAAGCAAATCCAACCTGCATAGCCACCCCCCTCCACACACACATACATTTTGGGAATCTTTACATTTGCCTTCTGATTTCAGAACCTTTAGGTTACACCAAATAGTAAGAGACTTGCCATTAAACCATAAGTCTTGTCAATACTGCTTTCTGTCAAACACTCCATAACCCCTGGTTACTTCATTCCCTGCCCCACAACCTAACCAAGCAAATGCCCAAAACTCATGCAGCCCCACTACCCCCATGTACCCTTCACTACTACAGAATCTATCCAAAACACCCTTCCTTTAGTTCACCCTAGAATTACAGAAGTCAGTGAGTGTTTGGTCAGGTCAGTATCGCAAGCAGTGCTTTTATACACGTCAAAGTATATTCCTGAGCCCCATTATGTCCTAACACCAGGCAAAAGAGGGTAGGAAAATGAAAACCACTCTTTTAGAGCTTCTGCTAACACAGGATAAGTAGAAGCAGCCTGGCCAAAGAATCCAGCAATCCTTTCCTGTTATCTGTGCATCTAACCCTATTTGAAGACAGTCTCCTAAGAGATCCATCCCCAGGATTTCCACCCAGTTTTTAACAAGGAAGTGAAGTTCAACTCTTCACATCTCCTTTGCTCTGGTTTTGACCAAAACTTAACAGAATGGCAGACTAGTAAAAGGAATCCTACGCTTAAAGGAAATAAAAAGACAATCTATCCAGTACTTCCCTCACCGTTCTCCACATGTACCTCCTCCCATGTAAATATGAACTCAGGACACCACTGTCCTAAAGAAGATACAGAGATGGGAAGGAATAAGGTTTTCCACTCTCAAAAAGAGGTTACAACTGCAAATAGCATTTAAATGTATAACTCGAGTTATAGCTACATTTGGTACAAAAAGCTAAATGTGACAAACCCCAAAGCCAGGAAGTTTACTAGGTACACAAAACATTTAACAAAAGGGGCTTTAGAACAGTCAGAAATCTTAGTCCACATCCTATTCTGGTGGGCCAAGATGAGCTCATGCTTTGTTCTGAGGCCCAAAGAAGAAGACATTTGACAAGTCCAGAGCATCACCTACCCTAAAGCCACTTAATTTCTTCGTGACCCCAAAATAAAGTTTGCTAGCTCCTTCAAAAACAAGAACAGCAAAAATAGAGTTTCTCAAAGGGAGATGCACCAAACAAATCAGAGTTTGCAAGGGTTGTTTATGACTGTGGGAGCACAAATGCATGGAGTATCATACCTTCTATCTGCCTACTGCTTTCTCCTGAGGAGACAAGAAAACCTGCTATCTGAGAAAGCCTGAGCACACTGACAGTGGAATTCTTATACATTACAGTATCAGAGGCTACTCTCAAGATAAGCAGACAGTAAAAACAGAGGGAGGGTTCAACATACACATGCCTCTGCCTGCTTCCCAAAACAAAGTTGGCTGGTCTAAGTTTAGGACTACCATATTTCTTTCCTTCATTTCCTTCCCTTTGTGGGCTTACGTACTGCAAAGTTATACCCGTACAGAGGACTTAAATACAATGTTTGAGGCCAGCAAGGTTTAAAACAGAAACTTTAAACCCCAGAAGAGATTCAATAGTGGAAACACATTATCTGGGCTATTGGACACTACCATAATTTCTAGCATCACAAGTGTACTCAGCATTGTATGTACGAGCCATGGTCTTATACAGGCACTTCATACTAGAGGTAACGGTTTCCAAAAAGCAATATGCTTTGGAATAATGCTAGCACTAACTTGTTTCTTTATGATTATTAACATTTATGCAAATCACCATTTTTTAAAAGTCTCTGCCTTTGGCAAGTGCCCGAATAATTGCTTTGTGATCAATTCACTGAATTAGCTCACTGCCAAAGAGGCACAAGTATTTTTCAACAGCTACTTGCATGAATCTAACTATAAGGAAGTGATCACATCAGGTTGAGGAAACTCAACAGAAGAGGAGTTTTATTTATTTTAAGTAAATCAGATACCAAGATGACTAGGACTGAGGATACTGCAAATATTTTTCTGGTGAAAGAGGTACAGTTTATAGTCAGAGAGTAACTGGCAAGAAGGTTCCCCCTCACCAGTTTGGGGTTCATGAGCTCACAGAACAGAGAGAAACAGATGTCACCCAGGCTCAGTTGGGGACAATATAAATATCTCCCTGATGCCAACAGGGGAAGCCATTTCCTGGATGGGGGAAGAAGGTCACTCAGCGTAGTGAACTAGAAGAACTAAGCGGATTTCTCCATGCTGAGGTGATGAGGGTTGGGGTCTCCAGGACCCAGACCGGGGAGAACGGAAGGCACCCGCTCCAGGCGGGTAACTGCAAACCCCATGGGTTTAAGTGCAGGTCCCGACCCTTCTCAGTCCCTACCTGACTCCTGGCCCTTATGGCACAAACTGCTGCAACCGGGATGGCTCGATTTCGGCCCCAAGCCCAGCCAAGAGGCACCAGAGAGAGAAGCTGCCACAGGCTCGCTCTCTCCCCACCACCCTCGGGCTCCTGATCCACGGCCCCCTTCCAGCCAGCCCCGCCTGGACCAGAGGCGGGCTGCTAGGTCAGACCCCGCCGGGACTGAGCCCCCATGCAGCAGCAGCAGCTCCGGAGCCGCTGCCATGAGCGTGCGGGGTCTCTGCCCCCCGGATAGGGCAGGAGCCGGGGAGCACGGGGTGAAAAGGGACCTCCTGACTGACCCGCCCGGGAGCACCTTCCGCGGTAGAGCTGAGGCGCGCTCCGCTCCATGCCCGCAGCGGGAAGGCGGCCGGCAGCAGCCCCCGGCCCGGCGGGCACTCACCTGTGGCAGGGGAGGCAGGGCAGGGCACCGCCGGAGGGGCGCGGGCGCCGAGCCCGGGCAGAGCGAGGAGTCCCCAAGCTGCAGCCTCAGGCGCCGCCGCGCCGCATTGTTTCCAAAATACACTTGCTTCCTGGCATCCCCCAAACAGCTGATAGGAGCCCCGCCCCCCAGTGACGTACACGCCAACCAGCCAATACGGAAAGAGCGCCCCCCCCCGCGCTGCCTCCGCAGCAGGGACAGACGCTGATGTGCAGCCTTCCATGTAAACCAGAGTAAGGGAGGCAGGGCAAATCCCCAGCCCCTCATGAAGCGCACAATGCACAGCAGGGCTGGTGAAGGGAGGCTCCGTCTGCTGTTATGCTACAGCTAGCCCGGGGGGTTGCAGGGCCAGGAAGACTTGTGATAAGGTCTTTGACACAGTCCTCTATGACGGGCTCATAAGCAAAGCAGGGAAACGTGGTCTAGCTGAAACTACTATAAGGTGGGGTGCGCAAGTGGTTGAAAGACCATCCTCATCGAACTGGGAGGGTGTATCTAGAGGGGCCCTGCAGGGGTCAGTCCTAGGTCAGGTACTATTCATTATTTTTCATTAATGACTTGGCTAATGGAGCAGAGAGTATGCTTGTAAGATTAGGGAATGACATCAAACTGACAGGGGTTGCTACAACAATGGTAATACCTTGCAGTCATCCACGGATGTTGACGTACCATGGAAAGAGGCATAAATAGTAAGGCTGTGGATTAATCACAGTTAACTCACTCGATTAACTAAAAAAAGTAAATCATGATTTAAAAAATTAATCACGGTTTTAATTACACTGTTAAACAATAGAATACCCATTGAAATTTATGAAATATTTTGGATGTTTTTCTGCATTTTCATATATGTTGTAATTTAAATCAGTGTCTATTATTTTTATTACAAATATTTGGACAGTAAAAATGATAAACAAAAGAAACAGTATTTTTAAGTTCACCTCATACAAGTACTGTAGTGCAATCTCCTTGTTGTGAAAGTGAAACTTACAAATGTAGATTTTTTTTGTTACATAACTGCACTCAAAACCAAAACAATATAAAACTTCAGAGCCTACAAGTCCACTCAGTCCTACTTCTTGTTCACCAGTCGCTAAGACAAACAAGTATGTTTACATTTACAGGAGATAACGCTGCCCTCTTCTTATTTACAGTGTCACCAGAAAATGAGAACAGGCATTTGCATGGGACTTTTGTAGCCAGCACTGCAAGGTATTTACGTGCCAGGTATGCTAAACATTCACATGCCCCTTCTTGCTTCTGCCACCATTCCAGAGGACATGCTTCCATGCTTGTTAAAAAATAATGCATTAGTTACATTTGTGACTGAACTCCTTGGGAGAGAATTGTATGTTCCCTGCTCTGTTTTACCTGCATTCTGCCATATATTTCATGTTATAGCAGTCTCAGATGAGGACCCAGCACATGTTGTTCATTTTAAGAACACTTTCACTGCAGATTTCACAAAATGCAAAGAAAGTACGAATGTGAGATTTCTAAAGATAGCTACAGCACTTGACCCAAGGTTTAAGAATCTGAAGTGCCTTCCAAAATCTGAGAGGGATGAGGTGTGGAACATGCTTTCAGAAGCCTTAAAAGGGCAACACTCCGACGTGGAAACTACAGAACCCGAACCACCATAAAAGAAAATTAACCTTCTGCTGACTCAGATAATGAAAATGAACATGCATTGGTCTGCACTGCTTTGGATTGTTATCGACCAGAACCCATCATCACCATGGATGTATGTCCCCTGGAATGGTGGTTGAAGCACAAAGGGACATATGATTCTTTAGCACATCTGGCATGTAAAGATCTTGCAACTTGGGCTACAACAGTGTCATGCAAATGCCTGTTCTCACTTTCAGATGACATTTACAAAAAGCAAGCAGCATTATCTTCTGCAAATGTAAACAAACTTATTTGTCTGAGTGACTGGCTGAACAAGAAGTAGGACAGAGTTGACTTGCAGGCTCTAAACTTTTACATTTTTTTTTTGTTTTTGAATGCAGGTTTGTTTTTTGGGTTTTTTTTACATAATTCTACATTTCTAAGTTCAACTTTTTGATAAAGAGATTACACTATGGTACTTGTATTAGATTAATTGAAAAATACTATTTTTGGGGGGGGTTTATAGTGCAAATACTTGTAATCAAAAATAAATATAAAGTGAGCACTGTACACTTTGTATTTGGTGTTGTAATTGAAATCAATATATTTGAAAATGTAGAAAACATCCAAAAATATTTAAATAAATAGTATTCTATTATTGTTTAACAGTGTGATTAATAGCGCGATTAAGCGCGATTAATTTTTTTAATCACTTGACAGCACTAATAAATAGTATTCCCATTCTTACAGATGGGGAAACTGAGACACCAAAAAGTCAAGGCCAATATTTTTAAAAGTCGATAGTGGCTTGAGATATAGGGTGACCATATTTCCCAAAGGGAAAACAGGACACCACATGGGGCTGACCCAAATTCTTCCCCCAGCCTTCGTGGGGCTGGCCCAAGCCACTCGCCCCAGCCCTGCCTACCCACCTCCCCCCCACCACGCAATGCTGTTACAGGTTGTTCCAGCTCTGCCTCCCCCACTCCCCACACCAGGCTGGCATTGCTGATCAGCCCCTGCACGTTCCTTCGCTCCACACCTCACTTTTTTGACAAATGTGGGCATTTGTCCCCTTTGCTCTTGCCACGACAAATGCCCTCTTTTGCCAAAAAAATCCGAACAGCTGGGACAGGGCTTAAAAAAGGGACTGTCCCAGCCAAAACAGGATGAATGGTCACCCTACTTGAGGTATCTCAGCTTTTGGGTATCCAACTTGACATACCTTAAGCCTGATTTTCAGAAATGTTGAGCATTCACAACCCCATTTGAACTTAGTGGGAACTGTGACGTGTTTAGCCCCTTTGAAAATCAGGCCCAAGTTATGAAGGAATGGATTGCCACTGATATCTCCCCAATTCCACATTACACCTGGAGTGCTTTTGTCCTTTTACATACTTTTGGCAGCAAGGGCTTCTTGTGGAAAATTCTAAACCTCCAGTCAAGAACAATGTTCAAGTCTTTGGAGGAGGTGATTAAAGGCCTTCTGATATGTGGTGCTTTTCCTTTGGGACCTTTGACCTCCTTTGTACCAGGACACAACACTGTCTGCAGTAGGTGTGAATCAATCCATCCTTTTAGCAGAGTTTTCTAGCCAAGGATAGCAATTAGGGACCCAGTCTCTGGTACTCCATTTCTGCACTCAGCTCAGCATAGCAAACTTCAGGGGAAAAGTGGCTTCGGACTACCATTGCATTCCCTTTATTCTGGGCCCATCTGGGGACCTGCCTTGCTCCCAGTGTAGATAAGGGCCCCCTTGAATAATAGCTCATGTGCAGGCAATGCTTTGGCACAGCTGTTTCCTCTTGGCCCACCTCCAACCTACCCTGTATGCTGACCTGTGTGGCCTTCTGTGCTGAGGGTATTTTCTAGGGGCCAGAGGCGGGCAGTAGAGAAATCGGCCCTCAGGGCTTGCTGCAGAGAACTGCTGCCTCCACCCATATCATGAATACGGGGCTCTCCAGATACACTGCATGGTACAAAATGTAACTGCTGGGCTCTCAGGTCAGTGTGTAGAGGGCTCCACTTCCTTTCTCTCTCATCATGCTTATCCTAGCCAGTCTACCCACTCAGAAAGGGGAACTCCCCCGAAGTCAATAAACTTTCATGAGATGTAAGCAGATAATACATGCCAGGCCTCATCTTGCTGTTTACAGCATAAAACTGATGTGAGATCAGAATCAGACCTGCTACATTTTGCAGTTATATGGAAGAGCCTGTATGCCATCTGTACGTTAGGGGTGGCGGGAGGGGAGGGGGGAGATGAGGCTGAAGCCCTGTTCTTCGCCTATTGGAGAAGTCTGGGAATTCCTTAAGACGCTTTCATCATTCAGCGAGTTATTCTGGGGTTTTGTTTTTTCCCCCTGTTTATTTTTAATGGAAATTTCTTACAACCAAACTACCAGAGTTACACACACACGCAAGAAATAGTCAGTATTCCTGTGATTTAAGAATACTGAAAAAAAAAAATCCTCCAACTCTCCCCGCCCCAACCCCCACCCCCCCAAAAAAAAAAACAGTGACATGAAATTAAACCAAAGCCAGAACTTGGTTGAACGTTGGGAAGAAAATTCTTAAGAATGAGATCTCTTAGAGTGTTGAATAATCTCCCAAAGGAAGTGGTGGAAGCCCTGAGCCTACTACCTGAGTCATTTAAAGCTATTATTATTATTATTATTATTATTTGTATTGCACTTACAGACCTCAACCAAGAACAGGGCCCCATTGTTCCAGGTGCTGTATAGACAAGTAGTAACAGACAGCTCCTGCCCTGAAAAGCTTTCAGTCGAAATAGAGAAGACAGACAAAGGATGGCAGGTGAAGTAGCACAGCAGGTCAGCTGCAGAGTTGGGAAGAGAATGCAGATCTCCTGACTATTAGTTCAGTGCCCTATCAACTAGACCATGTTGCCTCCCAACTAGACTGGACTGCTCAAGAATATTCTCCAGAGCAGGGTTTCTCAATTCCTGGGTCAGGACCCAAAAGTGGGTCACCAGAATGTTTCAAAGGGTCATGTGGCAGTTCCTGTGGCTCCTGTCCCGTGGGACTGGCTGATCTTGCCTTCCTGCTCCAGGCATTGCAACCTGTGGGGTCCCAGCACCACTCAGGTCATGATGATGAAAGTCCACGTAGGCCAAATTTGAGTGAATAGCACTGCAATCCCATGAGCCAGGTCACAATTCCACTCACTCAAATTTGGTCTAGCAAGGGTGGTGGGGTCAAACCTGAGTGGCGCTGCAACCCTCGAGGTTGCAATGCCTGGAACGGAGAGCCAAGCCCAGCCAGCCCCGCAGTACAGGAGCTGCTACTGTGGGGTGAGTGGCTTGCAGGACCCAATCCCACCCCCCTCTGGGGGGTGGGCTCCAATCAAAACCACCCCAGGGCCTCAACCCCCAGACTATTTACTGGGTCATGATAGGCCATAAACATTTACAAATGGGTCCTGAACCCCAAAAGGTTGAGAACCACTGCTATGGTTGGTT